TGGCTATGATGGCCCAGATGATGGCCAGACTTAATGACAAGGACAAGGAGGCAGACAGTAGTAGCTCCATTGAAGGACCCAAGAAAGGAGAACCACAGGAGGAAGGCTATGGCAGATCAGATTGGAAAGAGAACAGATCCTACACCAGAATGCCTAAAGTGGAGTTGCCTAACTTCACAGGAGATAACCCAAGGGAATGGATCCGTAAGGCTAACAAGTTCTTCAAGATCAATGGAGTGGAGGAGAACATGAAATCTGAGATTGTTGAGCTGTACCTGAGGGACAGAGCAGACACCTGGCTCCATGGGGTATTCAGTGGCAGGGGAACCATTCCATGGACTGAATTAGCTACTGCTTTGTGTAAAAGATTTGGAGAGGGCACTCCAGAAGAAGCTATTGAAGAATTCAACAAACTTAGGCAGGAGGGATCTATAGCAGACTACCTGGAAAAATTCGAGCTGCTCAAAGCACTGGTAATGCCTTCCCTCCCTCATCTAGCTGACTCCTATTACAAGGCATGTTTCTTAAGTGGCTTAAGGGAGGAAATAGTCAATATGGTTAAAATGGCCAAGCCTCTAACTCTGGCGGATGCAGTAGAAGCAGCCAAGCTACAAGAAAAGAACCTGAAAGCTATGCAAAAATTTCACAAACCCCTACCTAGCAATTCCCAGACACACAAAACCTCTTTCCACGCCCAGAGCCATAACAAATGGAACCCCTCCACATCCAGATCCTCAGATAACCCCCTCCCCACAAACACATACAAACCTCCAAACAGCAACACAAACTAGTTCGAAAAGATCACCCCTAGTGAGTTCAACCTCAGAAAAGAGAAAGGACTATGCTATAAATGCGCTGAACCATACACACTTGGTCACGTATGTAGACAATCCCATATCCATCTTCTGCTAGTTCAGGAAGACAGTGAGAACCCTGTAGCTAATGAGAGTGGGAAGGAGGCTGAACCTGAAGTTTTCTGCGATTGCATTGAGGGCAAAATAGGGGATGAACACATAGAAATTTCCCTCCATGCTCTAGCAGGAGGCAATGAACACAAAACTATTAGGCTGAAAGGGATAATAAAAGGAAAAACTGTCACTGCACTCATTGACAGTGGCATCACTCACTGTTTCCTAGATGAACAGTTAGCCAGGAACCTGAAATTGGATAGTAGTGGACCATCCCTAGTTGTTAATGTAGCTAATGGGGAAAAGGTACAGTCTAGCAGCTTAACTAAGCCAATAGTATGGAAGATGCAAGGATATGAATTCCAGCACCAGTTCAATACACTGAAGTTAGGAGGGTACGATATGGTGCTTGGAGTAGACTGGCTTGCCAGATTCAGTCCCATGGAGTTTGACTTCAAGAGACTAAGTGTGAAATTCAGGAAAGGAAAACAGCAGGTGGAATTGAAGGGGGAGAGTGATCAGGTGCAGCTAAGGTTGATCAAAGGAAGCAGATTGCACAAGTGGGCTAGGAAACAGGCCTATGGGATTATGGCTCAACTGAGTGCAGTCCAAAAAGAAGTACATGACAGTAATAATATACCCCCAGAGATAGAAGGGGTATTGCAGGATTTTGAAGAGATATTCAAGGAACCCCAAGGTCTGCCTCCTGAGAGGAGTCATGATCATTCCATTACCCTTAAGGAAGGGGCCAAACCTTTTCAGATCAGGCCATATAGATGTCCTTATATTCAGAAGACTGAAGTTGAGAGGCTAGTGCAGGAAATATTGGGAAATGGTATCATTCAGCTCAGCAACAGTCCCTATGCATCCCCTGTACTACTAGTAAAAAAGAAGGATGGCACTTGGAGATTCTGTGTTGATTATAGGCAGTTGAATGAGTTGACAATCAAGAACAGATACCTAATACCCCTTATTGATGAACTTTTGGATGAATTGTCTGGTTCCAAATACTTCACCAAGATAGATTTAAGGTCAGGATACTTCCAGATCAGAGTAAAGGCAGAAGATGTTCACAAAACTGCATTTAGAACCCATCAGGGACTCTACGAGTTCAAGGTGATGCCATTTGGGCTCACTAATGCCCCTACTACCTTCCAAGGATTAATGAACCATGTATTCCAGAAGCGGCTGAGGAAGTTTGTGCTGGTATTCTTCGATGACATCTTGGTATACAGCTCAAGCTTACAGGAGCATTTAGAGCATGTCACAGTGGTTCTGAACATCCTTAGAGAGCACCAACTATATGCCAAAAGAAGCAAATGTGCCTTTGCTCAGACACAGGTGGAGTACCTGGGACACATCATATCAGCTGAATGTGTAAAAGTTAACCCTGAGAAGATTAAGGGTATGATGATGTGGCCTAAACCAGAAAATGTAAAACAGTTGAAGGGATTCCTAGGCTTAACTAGGTACTATAGGAGATTTGTTAAGGGTTGTGGTAGTATAGCCAAGCCATTGACTGCACTACTGAAGAAAGATAGTTTCCAATGGGGAATAGAGGCTAAGGAGGTATTTCAGAAGCTCAAAGGAGCCATGTGTAACACACCTGTACTGGCCCTACCTGACTTTAACCAACCCTTTATAATCGAAACTGATGCCTGTTACAATGGGATAGGGGCAGTATTAATGCAGAACAGGAGACCATTGGCCTATATCAGTCAAGGCTTGGGACCAAGGAATATGGGGCTGTCTATCTATGAGAAGGAGCTATTGGCTCTAGTTACAGCAGTCTCCAAATGGAGACACTACTTAGAGGGCCGGCACTTCATCATCAACACTGATCATCAGAGCTTAAAGTACCTACTGGAACAAAGAATCACCACCCCCCTGCAGCAGAAGTGGTTGACTAAGCTCATGGGGATGAGTTACGAGATCCACTATAAGAAGGGTAAGGAGAATGTAGTCGCAGATGGCCTATCCAGGAGGGGGAATCTAGGCTTGGAGTGCACTGTAATAACTACCATAGTACCAGAATGGATCAAAGAAGTGATTAGTAGCTACCAAGGAGATGACTGGGCACAGAATAGCATCAGGGAAATTTTACTGAACCCAGACCTGACTTCCAACCTCAGTTATTAGAACGGTATACTGAAGTTCAAAGGGAAAGTAGCCGTGGGATCTGGGGGAAAGATAAGGAAAAAATTGATCAACACCATATATGATTCCCAATTGGGGGGCATTCTGGTATCCAGGCAAGCTTCATGAGAGCCAAGCAATTGTTTTACTGGCCAGGCATGCACAGAGACATCAAGACAGCAATATTGGAATGTGATGTCTGTAGGAAATACAAAGATAAGCATGTGTCCTATCCAGGGCTCCTGCAACCCCTGCTAGTTCCACAGTACCCTTGGAGCCATATCACTATGGATTTCATAGAGGGATTGCCTAACTCTGAAGCGAGGGACACCATTATGGTAGTGGTGGACGGATACACTAAGTATGCCCATTTTCTGAGCATCTCACATCCTTATGATGCCCCAAAGATTGCCAGAATTTTCCTAGATGGAGTAGTCAAGTTACATGGAATACCCCAGAGCATGCTGTCAGACAGGGACAGGGTCTTCACCAGTCAATTCTGGAGTGAAATGTTTACACTGATGGGAGCTACTTTGGACCACAGTACAGCCTACCATCCACAGTCTGATGGCCAGACTGAAAGGGTCAATCAGGTATTAGAGATGTACCTTAGATGTTTTTCACATTTGGAACCAAAGAAGTGGAATCATTGGTTGACCATGGCAGAATGGTGGTATAACACCAGCTACCACACAGCCATCCAAATGACCCCCTTTGAAGCTGTATATGGACAGGCACCTCCACAACTGTCTAGGGGACCCTACACTCAGGCTAAGGTAGCTATAGTTGGGGACTACTTGAAGGAGAGGCACAAGGTTGATATCATACTGAAATAGAACCTGAAGCAGGCTCAGGAGAGGATGAAAAAGTATGCTGACGAAAGGAGAAGTGAAAGAAGGTTTGATATTGGGGAATGGGTACACCTGAGATTACAGCCTTATAGGCAAGGTTCAGTGGATATGAGAAGCAACACTAAGTTATCAGCACGTTACTATGGCCCTTATGAAGTGGTAGGGAAGGTTGGAGAGCTTGCATATAGGCTGAAGTTGCCCGCAGATTCCAAGATCCACCCTGTATTCCATGTCTCCCTACTGAAGAAGAAGGTCGGGGACCAGACCACACCTGTCTTGCAGTTACCAGAAGTGGATGGGAGGGGGCACTTAAGAGTTGAACCAGTTGCAGTGCTAGACCGAAGAACAGTCAAGAGAAAGAATGCAGCTGCAGTGCAATGGCTGATACATTGGTGGGGAACAGATCCAGCAGAAGCAACATGGGAATTTGCAGAAGCCATTAGGAAGCAGTTTCCTCAATTCCAATCTTGAGGACAAGATTTTTTAAAAGGGGGAGACTCTGTCATGGAGTGTGAAATAAAAAACAGGAGGCGTGTCCCAGATTACAAGGAAGACGTGTTCCAGCTTGTAGAAGGAAGAAGGTGTGATCCAGATTGCATTGAAGGTGCGGACGATCAACTTGAGGAAGGAGAAGGCGTGACTTTAAAAAATCACGCCTTCTACCTGGCACAACAGAATTATGCTTCTGTTATGAGCAAGTAGAGCTGATGATTCTAGAATTCCACGTGTCCTTACTTTATTGGCCCGTTTAGAAGTTAGTTAGTCCGGAATTGTCCTTAAAGGCTGAAGGAATCCGAGTGATAGCTAAGTTTTTGTCATATTTCTTCCAATTGGTTGTAAAGGAGATTTGGCTCCGCCAACTCCCTCATCTCTTTTCCTTTTATTTCCATCAGTCTTTCCCCTCCAATCTAAATCCGTTGATTCTGTTCTGTAATTGACCTTTACCAATTATTAATGAGAAGTTGAAGTTTAAATATTCATCTCCATTTCCTGTTCCATTCAAATTGCTAAAAGTTAGTTCACTTCTGCTGCAAGTAATCCATCACCATTACTGCAATTTGGGTTCTATACCATAACATTCCATGGCTCCATCCCTGAAGAACTTATGTCTCTGAACTCTCTTGTTGCACTCGATTTGAATCTGAATAAGTTTACAGGATCAATTCCTACATCTATTGGAAATATAACCGCCCTAACCATTCTATCCATGGCAGCCAACAAATTTTCAGGACATATTCCTTCAAGAATCGGAAACTTGACAAAACTTAATGAACCAACTTTTTCTAGGAACCAGCTATCAAGTCCTGTTCCGGAAGAGATTGGGAAACTCAGATCTTTTATTCGACTCTTTCTATCTGAGAACATGCTCACTGGTCCCATTCCAAAGCCTATTGGAAACTTGCCTCACTTGAATTTGCTGCATCTTTACAATAACTCTCTATCTGGACCTATTCTGAAAGAGATTGGAAAGCTCACATCTCTCGAGGATCTTCAATTCAAAGATAACAATCTCATCAGCAAGATTCCATTTTCTATTGGGAATTTGGGAAAGTTAAATAGTTTATACCTTTTTGAAAACAATCTCACTGGACAAATTCCTTCCTCCATTGGAAATTTAACCAATCTCATTGAATTGCTACTTTATGAAAACAACTTACACGGGGCTATCCCTCCTGAATTGGGAAAGTTGAATTTGCTAGTTGACATTCTTCTTTTCAGAAACTGACTAAGTGGTACCCTTCCAGATGTCTTTACTAATTTTACTGATTTAAATATGCTAGAACTATTTGAAAATCGTCTTACTGGTCATTTACCCCCAAGTATTTGCAGTGGTGGCTCGCTAACGTGGTTGGTAGTAGCTGATAATAACTTTGTGGGTGCTATGCCTAGAAGCTTTAAAAACCGTTCTAGCTTACATGTTATCAGTGTCCTAAGGAACCAACTATCAGGAAACATATCTGAAGATTTTGGCAATTACCCACATGCGTAACATATTGATTTAAGTGATAACAATTTTTTCGGTGCTCTCTCTTGGAATTGGAGCGCCTTTCTTAATTTGACGAGGTTGAAGCTCTCAAATAACAATCTTTCTGGCAGAATACCAATTGGACTTGGAGAAGTATCTCGTCTGCAAGATCTTCATCGTTTTTCAAATCACTTACATGGGAACATCCCAAGAAGTTTGGGGAAGCTGACTTTGTTGCTTAACCTTAAGCTGGACAACAATGACCTCTCGGGCAATATACCATCAGACATTGGTCAGATGTCTAGACTTTTAAATCTAAGTTTGTCAGCCAATAATCTTAGTGGCTTTATTCCAGAAACAATAGGCCGTTGCACACAGCTATTGGAACTGAATTTGAGCCAAAATGATCCCATTGAAAGCATACCTTCTCAAATAGGAATTCTTTCCTCGCTAGAAACTCTTGATCTCAGCCAAAACATATTGGAATCCAAATTGCCACCAGAGCTAGGCGAGTTGAAAAGCATTGAGAAGATTAATCTTTCACATAATAGGATATCAGGTTCAATCCCCAAAAGCTTTTATCATTGTTTCAGTCTAATATCTATTGATATATCCTACAATCAATTAGAAGGTCCTCTTCCCAACATTACTGCATTTCAACGAGCTCCATTTGATACCCTGAGAAACAATAAAGGTTTATGTGTCTGAGTTGTCGGATTGAAGCCTTGCCCTCAATCAACTCAAAAGGAAACCAGTAGAAGGACAAGTAAAAGGATTATTTTCCTAATTGTGCTTCCACTATTAGGAACCATGTTTCTTTTGACAGTGGTTGTGGGCATTTTAATCATTTCACGGTCACATCCGAGACATGTGGAGAATAAACCTGTGGAATTAACAGGAAATTTGTTCACTATCTGGAGCTTTGATGGGAAAATGGTCTATGAAAACATCATTGATGCAACAGAAAATTTTGACCCCAAGTATTGCATCGGAGTGGGAGGATGTGGAAGTGTTTTTAGAGCAGAGTTGCCAAATGGTCAAGTTGTTGCTGTCAAGAAACTTCATGCAACAGATGGTGGTACCTTGAGGAGGTTGAAAGATTTCACCAATGAGATCCGTGCACTAACAAATGCACGGCATCGAAACATCGTGAGGCTGTACGGATTCTGTACACATATAGAACATACTTTCTTGGTGTATGAATTCCGCTTGATGCAGTTATTGAGCAATGATGAAACAGCATCCATGTTCGATTGGATCAAGAGGGTAAACATGGTCAAAGATGTGGCAAAAGCATTGTCCTACATTCATCGAGATTGTTTGCCTTCTATAGTTCATCCAGATATATCTAGCAAAAACATTCTGTTAGATTCCGAGTATCAAGCTCACATCTCTGACTTTGGTACTGAAAGACTCATCAGGCCTAATTCATCTAGTTGGATGTCATTTGCAGGAACTTATGGATATGCTGCTCCAGGTGTACTGCTCTTTGCTCAAAGGAATCCAGCTTTTATCTTTCGATTCCCTTTTTTAATTAATCAATATGTACTTAAAACTAAAATCAGCAAAACAATTTTGCTTCTTGAATATAATTAAAATATTTGAAGGGGTTCATCTGCACAATAGTCTGAAGCGATTTTTAATTTGGTGAATTGCAGAACTTGCTTATACCTTGGAAGTAAATGAAAAATGTGATGTTTATAGTTTTGGAGTATTGGCTTTAGAAGTGATCATGGGCAAGTATCCAGGTGATTTCATATCATCAAAAATGTCGGCGCCATTATCAACAACATATAATGTGTTACTGAAAGATCATGTAGACCCTCGACTTTCTTCTCCAAGTAAGCAAGAGTCAAAACAATTGGTGTTGGTGGCAAAGCTGGCATTGTCATGTATAGAACCAAATCCCCAGTTGAGGCCAACGATGAAACAAGTGTCTATCCAACTATTGAAAGAAATACCATTTCAATTCGACATATTCCCAATGGTCACAATCAGACAACTTCTTGATCTGGAAATCACGAATTTTAGAGCTTCTGCATGTACGTATCTTTCCTTTTCTTTATCCAAAATTTCTAGTTCTTGTGGTTTGCAACTGATTACGTTTTGGCTAAATTTTGCTTGGATCCATTGGTTTAAGTATGTAATGAAATGTAAGTGCAAAAGCAAGGATAAATATCTAGTTAGAGTGTTACTGCACACGAATTTCACTCTCAAAACTTGACTCCAAGGTACACGCATCCCTATGACTGCTAATCTTCTAATTTTTGGATCTGATACTTTGAACAGCTTGAGCCAGGATCTTGGAAATGGAGCACTAAAGAAAGTATCTGTGTTACCTGGTCCGTGGTAGAAAAGTTTAGAAGAGTTTTGTGCATCAAGAAAGGAGTAATGCTAAAGATGTGATTTGGCTGAGCATGCTTGTAAGGGTATAGATTTGGATATCCCATCAGTAACACTAAATTTTCTTGTCCTTTGCTTGGGACAAATGTCACAAAGGTTCAATAGCGGGAAGTATGTATATAAACTTCTAAGGAAAATCAATAAAGTATTGTGTTGTATGTTTCAAAAAATCAAGGGCAAATTACACTTTACCCCATGTGGTTTAGTATTTTTTTACATAACCCTCATATGGTTTCAAAAACTATTCATAACCCCCTTATAGTTTGGATTGAAATATCAAAATGACGAAAATGATCATTTGTAACGGAGTCATCTAAAATGTCAAAAATACCCTTATGTAAAATTAAAAATTATTTATTAATCAAGAAGGGTAATGTGCATATTTTGAAAATCATAAGAGAGCCATATGGTAAAGCATTAAACCATAAGGGGTTATATGGTAAAACATAAAATCAAATAAGGTTAGTGTGTCATGTATTTATAAGGGTAATTTCGACATTTTTAAATGTTCCGTTATAAATGATTATTTCCGTCAATTTGACATTTTAATCCAAATCATGATGAGATTATGTATAGTTTTTGAAACCATAGGGAAATTATGTGAAAAATCGCTACACCACAAGAGGGGTAATGTGTAATTTGCCCAAAAATCAAACATGGCAACGATAATAATGATGCATCATATATATACATCAGTGTTCTTGCTTCTTGGTTAAAAATCAGAATTAGGAAGGCTTTCAACTAGATTTCTCAACACACATTCATCATTCAAATGTCTCACACGTTTGGATCTGGAAGCATTAGAACCTCCAGCAACTAAAACTAGAACGATCTTTCTTTTTTATAGCAAGTATTAAAGCACTAAAATTAATTGGTTCACAATCGGAAGAAGCTGCAAATACAGGAGGATAACCTTATTAGCACTGCCTGATGGAAGCAACTAAATGCTGCACAATGAACAACCAAAAGCATATTAACAGCACAATTTGGAAATCATTGTGTGACGAGTAATTTGTGTTAGGAAATTGATTTAATTTCTTTTAGTCAAGATCCCTATTTGGTATGAGAAATAACTAGTTTCCTAATTGGATTTAGGTACTTGAAATAGTAGTCAACGAAACTTCTATTTGGTTTAGGATTTAGATGTTATTTCCTATTCTGCATAAGTTTAGAAATTAATATTGGGTTCCAATTGTTATTTGATTTTTCGGCCAAGTAATATTCTCTATAAATAAGTAGATTGGTATACTATAAAGATGCACAAGAAAGGAGTGAGAGAGTTCTTAGTGGGTGAAAGGATTATACAAGAGTTAGGGTTTGGGAATCAAGTTGTAATCTTGTGGTGTTTTTTTTCTCTCATAGTAAGAACAAGTTTTCTCTCCGCGGACGTAGGCTTGGTGATTAAACCGAACCACGTTAATTCTTATGCGTTGTTCATCGTTCGTGCTAGATATTATTTTCTGTTAAATTGTTGGTCTTTTCTTTTTCAAATAGTTGGCCTGATACCCTAACAAGTGGTATCAAAGCTCCGTTAGGGTTTTGGTTAATTATTTGAAATTGAGTGGGTGGTGGTATACCATGGGGTTTGAAACTATACAGTTTCCAATTCAACCGTTTAATAGAATTACAAATTTCACTTCTTTGGCAAAGAAGAGTGAAGGATGTTCTAGTTCAAAAAGATTTGGCAAAAGCGTTGAATGAAAATAACAAGAAGCCAGAGAGCATGAGGGATGATGAATTTGAAGAGTTGAACGCAGGGTGTGCGAGCACGATTCGGCTCTATGTGACGGACAACATTATAAATAATGTGATAGATACGGAAAATTCTGCATCAGACCTCTGGAAAAAATTGGAAAAGCTTTGTCTGCCTAAAAGCTTATCCAATAAATTGCATCTAAAGCAGCAACTTTATGCACTAAAGATGGAGGAGGGTGGCAGTCTCATGGATCACATGAATACGTTCAATGAAATTTTGGATCAACTCCAAAAGGCGTAGATATTGAGGAAGAAGATAAGGCCCTTTTACTTCTTATCCCAGTCTCTGATTCTTATGAAAGTGTCATGACGACCCTGTTGTATGGGAAGGACACTTTAGAATTAGAGAATGTGCAGTCTTCTTTGTTGGATCATGAAAAACAAAGGAAGGCAAACCAGGATGTGACATAAGAAGCGGTGTTAATTGCTCGAGGTGAGAATAAAAGAGAAAAATAACTTGGCGATGAATTTAAGGCAGGTGGTTCAAAGGCCAAGAGAAAGGGTGGAATCCAGTGTTTTGGTTGTCATGAGTTTGGCCATATCAAAAGATATTGCCTTCATCAAAAGAAAAATGATGAGAATGATTATGATGGTGTTGCTGGATATGTATCGGGTGGAGATATTCTCGCAATCTCTAAAGGCAATAATACTTCTTCTCGTGATGGTTGGATTTTAAATTCTGGATGTGTTTCACATATTTGCTCCAAATTAGTCTATTTTGATACTCTCCAAAGAAAGAAGGCAGGTTTTATATCCTTGGGTGATGGATCTACTTGTCAAGTCAAAGGTGTTGGAGTGGTGAAAATCAAAATGTTGAATGGAACGATTCGTTCTTTGGGTGATGTGGCTTATGTCCCAAAGTTACGCAAGAATCTAATTTCTTTAAACCAGTTAAACTCCAAGGATTACCATTTTTCCGCTATAAGTGGAGTCTTGAAAATTATACATGGCGAGACGGTCTTGTTGATAGGGAAGAAGTATGGTAATTTGTACCATTTGAATACCTCAATGGATTGGAAGCGGAAGGAGATCCATGAATGCTCTCAAATTACAAATGATGGTGAGAGAAAAAATCCTGCTATGGGAAAGGGTGAATTGAGACCTCTCTCATGAGTCAACTAGATGTTGGATTCGGTTAGTTACACACGTTCATTTGCTGATTGAATCAATTGAAAACAAGACCGTCTTGATTCGAGTGTGTAGTTAGGCACCAAGGTATTTGGTGGAAAATGACAAATGGAGTTTTTTGGATGGTTTGCTGTGTTTGCTAAAAGAAATATTCATCAAAGTGGAAATTTGTTAGGAAATTAGCTTAATTTCTTTTAGTCAAGATCCCTATTTGGTATGAGAAGTAACTAGTTTCTTAATTGGATTTAGGTACTTGAAATAGAAGTCAATGAAACTTCTATTTGGTTTAGAATTTAGATGTTATTTCGTATTCTGCATAAGTTTAGGAATTAATATTGAGTTCCAATTATTATTTGATTTTTTGGCCAAGTAATATTCTCTATAAATAGGTAAATTGGCATACTATAAAAATACACAAGAAAGGAGTGAAAGAGTTTTTAGTGGATGAGAGGATTATACAAGAGTTGGGGTTTGGGAATAAAGTTGTAATCTTGTAGTGTTTTTTCTCTCATAGTAAGAACAAGTTTTTATCTCCGTGGACGTTGGATTGGTGATTAAGCCGAACCACGTTAATTCTTGTGCGTTGCTCATCGTTCGTGCTAGATATTATTTTCTATTAAATTATTTGTCTTTTCTTTTTTAAATAGTTGGCCTGATACCCTAACAATTTGCCTAAAGTAAAGAAACGTTTTGCAAGACACCTTTATGTTTCCTACTGATTTTGAGCAAGAAATTTAGGAACTCAGCCGATGAAATTCAAAAACAAAAATAACATACTAACAAGCATACGAAGGTGAAGTAGAAGGTGGGGTGGGGGTGGGGTGGGAGGAGGACTTCTCCGGGCAAATTTAGGCCACTGGAAATTATTTTCAGCGAGACTTGTGTACCAAAGTCCAGACTTATGCATGTGTTTAGTGAATTGTTGAAAACCCGAATTTATCAAAACACTAATGAGAAGCAGAGAATTCCTGTGGATCAATCTATCAGGAAACAATCTCCTCAGTCAAATTCCTTACTTGTTTTAATTGGAAACTCTGGCAACTTCACTTTGTTGCTGCTATTTTTTTTTAATGACTTTCTTTGGGGACCTGTTCTGTAGAAATCGAGATGGTTAAAATTCTTGTGGAATTTGATCTTTCACACAACATCTTACCAATCAAATTCCACAATCTGTTGCAGAATTGAGCAACTCGACCACCTTTTTTTCCCTTTAGTCATAATCAGCTTTCAAGTTCCATTACTGACGAAATTGGGAAACCCACGTCTCTTGACCAACTTGGCATTCATCTTTATGAGTCCATATCTGGAGGATATGGTAAGCTCAAATCTCTGTTAAATTAATATAATAACAACCTTACTAATTAATCAAGTTCCCGATTTTATTCGGAGGTGGGGCAAAAGAAGTGAATTATATGCCTTTAGATAAAGTAAATTCAACAGGACGTATTCCTGCCACCATTGGAAACTTAACAGGACTCGATGAATAGATATTTCATGAAAATCAAATTAGTGAAGATTTCCCTCAGGATTCAAATCCTGGTAGCTTCATTGCTTTTCCTAATTTGGAATTCATGTAGATTAATTTCTATAATCATTTATCAGTAAATATATGTTTAGTTTCTTGATGGTGGATAAAATCAGGAGTTAAAGGTGGGGAGGGACATCCAAATGCGTGCATTTTGCTTCTTTTTTTTTTAGTAGAGGAGAAATAACTAATTAAACTATACAAATTTATCTGGATCTGTCCCAACTCCCAACTAGCACCTAATATCTAATCCAACAAGACGTTGGTCACAATTAACAAAGTGATGGCCGAATTTCACTTTCAAATTTGCCAAAAAAAATTAGCACATTTGTTTCTCCCTCTATAACTGTGTTAGATCAGTACTTGCATGTTCTGGCATAATGACCAACAATCTTTCACCAAGACATTAGTGTATGGTGGAGCCTCGTACTTAGAGTTCATGATGTCTACAACAATGTTCAGAGGCGGAATCAACAAATGACGCGGCAAGAGAATGTTGAACTAATTAAGATGGAGTATCTTAGAAGAAGAAAAAGAAAGGAGCACAAAAGAACGAAAAACTATGGAACTGAACTATTTGGCTATTTGCCCTTCAACTTAATCGAAACCTCAGACTTGACTTTGGTTGACTTGATCACGTCTGAAGCCCAAACACTGTACTTTTTGATATTGCTAGTGTTTTTGTTCTAGAACAATGTTTTTACAACTGGTTCTATACTAAGAGGAAGGGGAGTAAATTGAACATAAAAGATACCATCTCAATTGTCATCATAATAGGGATAAAGACCTATGCAATTGAGCATGTTATTTTTATATGAATTCAGTAAATACGGACTATATGTAGTAGTAAGTTAATGAGATTGAGACCTGTTCTGTTATTTTTTATTCATCTATTACCCCAAAATACCCGTACCGAGAAAGTATTGATTTAGTGGTTAAGGTTGAAATTTCAAGACTTTAAGGTATTAAGTTTAAATTCCTTCCTTGTTCTTCTACACTTCTTAAATCCCATCCCTTTACTGCTAGGAAAAAAATTAAAAAGAAAACTAACATAAATACAGGCACAAAACAAAAACACCAAAGACAAGTAAGGTACTGCTTAGTAGTTAGTGCGCTAGATAATGTGATGAAAGAATTTGTAAGGTACTGCTAATCTTCTCTTAATTTTATAACTTGATGGATTTGTACGTCTCTGATTCATAATTTGATCATATCTTCTTCTTCAAAACCCTACTTTATAATGATTTCATCAGGAACTGGATGTCCTGGCACCAATACGTATGTTTACCAAATTAGAAGACATGGAAATGTAAATATAATACTTTGACTGGACTTGGAATTCCCCCCACACGAATGCACGCATTAGTGGGTATAGACAGAGTCAAAAGTTACAATTTTTCTTTTTGTCAATAATTACCATGTAATCACTAATTTTCATTAACTATTATTGTCCTCCTCCTTTGTATTTAGACACTTTCTCAATTTAACTTTATTTTTCTAAACAATTAACACTTGAATGACCCTACAATAATAACTTCAGTTCAACCACTATCGATATCTTACTTGCAAAATTTCAACAATTAATGCATTAGAAAGAAAGAACAAGAATAGTCATTTACACCAAGTCCACTCATAGGAGATCGATTGCAATCTAATCAATTATAAACATGGACTAATTTCACTTTGCATTCCTGAACTTGCATCACTATTCTACTTTGCATCTTAAATTTTAATTTTGGACACTTTATACCTTAAACTCTCAAATTTGGATACTTTACATCTTAGATTTTAGTTTGTACTATTTAAATCTAATCAATTACAATGTTATCAAGATTAACAAGATAAATGGTAGTGCAAATTATTGACAATATATCGTTTTGTTGTAGCTAGTTGCGATCGCTTGGCTCCTTTGACTGTTTTGAGCACATTTTTCTTAATGTATATGGTCCAAATTGCTATTATTGTTAGCAAAATGAATGAAATAAAATATTCAAATTAACAGCAATGTATTGTTTTATTCTAGTTACGATACCTTAACTCCTTTTCACCACTTTCAGCAAATTATCACTAATTTGCAGGGTACTTTATGATGTTAATTTTGCTAATGTTATCATTAATTAGACTTAAATATGACAAACTTGAGAATTTATAGCACAAAGTGTCCAAAATTAAAATTTAGAGCGCAAAGTAGAAAAATAGTATAAGTTTAAAAGTGCAAAGTGGAGTTAGTTCTTATAAACATATTCAAGAATTACCATCTAAGCACTAATTCTTAATTACAACTTAATCCCTCCATTATGAAGTAAAACATGGATCAGCTTAAAGTTTAGCACCAACCATATCTTCCAACTAAATTATTCCAACTATTCCAATTGAATAACATTTACACGGAGCGGAAGGTCCAAATCCAAAGACTTCAATCTGACACTTCGTAGGAGATTATGTATTCAATCAACTTCCAAGCTTAGCATCAAGCCTAGGATTTAGAGATCTTGAATTTCAATCTTCCTATTTTTTCCAGCTTCTCAAATTATACCCTTTTCTTGTTAGGAAAAAAAATAAACTGAACGTATCATCAAATGGATTGTTGAACTCAACGTGTAGGTTGATTTTGAATCGCAACAGATCTTCTATCTCATTTTCTTTGTCACCCTCTGTTTCACTTTTATTATATTGCTATATCTTCGTCATATTTTAGTTCTTTTTGTTTCCTCAAGATCCAATGACTATTAATTAAGTAAAATAAATACAACAGTTTCAAAAAAAGTAATATATAATAAAAAATTAAAAATACAGCAGAAAATTCATTTTAAAAAATATCATTTTTTATTCATTTTGATATTTTGAGTTTGTCAAATTTTGTATATTACTTAGTTAATAGTTAATAGATCTTAAGGAAACAAAAAAGAACTAAAATATGATATTTATAAAAGAGAAATAGTAATATAATAAAAAGTGGATAGAGAGTGTGCCACAGGGAATGGGATAGACGATCCGTTGTGATTTTGAACCATCCAGTTTTCTTTTTCAAATTATTTTTGTTTTTATCTTCTTTGGATACAAGCCCCATTTTTTTTTCTTGCTAAATACTTCTATTCTTTTACCATTAACTTTAGAAATAATGCAAAAATCCTTTAACAAAAGCAGCATTTGGAGAAATTTCTTTTTCTATTCTTCTTCTAAAAACCCTTCCCAAATATTTTAGCAGCAATTCAAATTTATTCTACAAGCAATTTAAGGAAATTAAATTTAATGAAAACGATATTGCTAAAGTAAAATTTCAATTTTAGCTATTCCATAACCACATCAATTATAGGAAAGCCATTCCCTTTTGGATGTATAACATAGCAATTAAATTTTTTAATTAGGTTAATTTCAACAAGACAACGTAAATCATATGTAAGAATATAAGAAATGCAATGATTATACATGTGTTCCGTGTCTATACCAAGTAATTGATTAACCAGGATTTTTCAACATAAATGAGGACACGAGTTGATTGTTGACGATAAGAAACGACTCTATGTAAACTCTCTAAGTACTTGTATACATTCAATGAAGGCCAACAACTTCTCAGCAGAAATTTTATTACTCCTGATAATTTGTTCATTTGAGATATCCAGTAAATATGTTAATTCAACTTTGCTTACTTTCTGTATGCATGGCAATGCTACAATTGCTTTCTACTTCTCCAACGAATGCTGCATCTGAAATATTAAGTAATGGAGATGAAGGGAAAGCTCTTTTAACATGGAAAGCCAGTCTTGACAATTACAGCCAGTCCCAGTTGTCATCTTGGTCATCTTCTGCCAATCCTTGCAGCAACTGGATTGGAATTCGATGCAACAAGGCTGGAAGGATATCGATCATTAACATTACTAGGTCTGGCATTAAAGGTACACTTGATCATCTGAATTTCTCGTCTCTTCCCTATTTAACTAGAATTGATCTTTATTATAATGCATTCTATGGGACCATTCCATCCCACATTGGCAACCTTTCTAGGCTAATCTATCTTGGCTTGGATTCAAATCATTTCAATGGTGCCATTCCAATTGAAATCAGCCAACTAACCAATCTTAGGTTCTTGTATTTGTCCAATAACTCATTCTATGGTCCCATCCCCAAAGAACTCATGTTTCTCACGTCTCTTGTTGAACTCAGTTTGGTAGTGAATCAGTTTACAGGATCAATCCCTGCTTCAATTGGAAATTTGACCAACCTAAGCTATCTGAACCTTCGAGCCAACAGACTCTCAGGGCGCATTCCTTCAGGAATTGGAAACCTGACAAAACTCCAAGAATTGTCAATTGCTACGAACCAGCTATCAGGCCCCTTTCCGGAAGAGATTGTGGAACTGAGATCTCTTACTGATCTCTCTCTGGCGGATAACATGTTCACAGGTCCCATTCCACAGTCTATTGGGAACTTAGGCAACTTGACTTCGCTGTATCTTTTCACTAATTTTCTTTCTGGACCTATCCCTGAAGAAATTGGAAAGCTAACATCTCTTGAACATCTTGAACTCAGCAATAACAATCTCAGCAACAAGATACCCAATTCTGTTGGTAATTTGGGAAAGTTAACTTACTTATACCTTCCTGGGAACAATCTCACAGGATATATTCCCCCATCCATGGGAAATTTAACCAATCTCATGCAATTGGTACTCTATGAAAACCACTTACAGGGGGAAATCCCACTCGAATTGGGAAAATTGAAGTTTCTGGTTGATATTCGCCTCTTCAGAAACCAACTAATTGGTGTTCTTTCAGATGCATTCAATAATTTTACCCAGTTGCAAACGCTACAAGTATTTGAAAATAATCTTACTGGCCATTTACCCCAAAATATTTGCAAAGGCGGTTTATTAAAGCGGTTCTTGCTACATGACAATAACTTTGACGGTACCATGCCGAGAAGTTTGAAAAATTGTTCTAGCTTAGAAGTAATCTGTGTCCATAGAAACCAACTATCAGGAAACATATCTGAAGATTTTGGTGATTATCCACATGTTGATTGCATCGATTTAAGAGATAATAAATTTTATGGTGCCTTATCCTGGAATTGGGCAGCCTTTCTGAATTTGACGAGTTTGAGGATCTCCAACAATAATCTTTCTGGCGAAATACCAACTGGGCTTGGAGAAGTATCTCGTCTGCAAAGACTTCACCTCTCTTCAAATCGCTTACATGGGGAGATCCCCAGAAATTTGGGGAAGTTGACTTTGTTGCTTGACCTTAAGCTGGACAACAACAACCTTTCGGGCAATATACCTTCAGAAATTGGTCAGATGTCTAGACTTCTAAATCTAAGTTTGTCGGCGAATAATCTTATTGGCTCAATTCCAGATCAAATTGGCTACTGTACACAGTTGGTGGAATTGAATTTGAGCCAAAATGCACTGATTGAAAGTATTCCTTCTCAAATTGGAAATCTTCACTCACTTGAAACTCTTGATCTCAGCCAAAACATGTTGGAATCCAAATTGCCACCAGAGTTAGGGGAGTTGAAAAGCATTGAGGAGATGAATCTTTCACATAATAGGATAACAGGAACGATCCCCTCTAGCTTTGATCATTGCCTCAGTTTGATTTCTATTGATATATCCTTTAATGAGTTGGAAGGTCCTCTTCCCAACATTACTGCATTTCAAAAAGCTCCATTGGATGCGCTGAGACACAATGCTGCTTTATGCGGCCGCAGCATTGTTGGTTTGAGACCTTGCACCCAATCAACAAGAACTGGGACTCTTAGAAGGAAGACAAGCATGAAAATTATTTTTCTGATTGTTTTTCCAGCTCTAGCAGCCGTGTTTCTTTTGATTATAGTTGTGGGGATTTTCTTTCGTGCTAGAAGATCACACACAGAATATGCTGAAAATGAGCCAAGAGAATCAAACGAAAATTTATTTGCCATTTCAAGCTTTGATGGGAAAACAGCCTTTGAAAATATTATTGATGCAACAGAAAATTTCAACCCCAAGCATTGCATCGGAGTGGGAGCATTTGGAAGTGTTTTTAGAGCAGAGTTGCTGAATGGTCAAGTTGTTGCTGTCAAGAAACTTCATGCAACAGATAGTGGTCTATTGAGCAGTCCAAAAGATTTTGCCAATGAGATCCGTGCACTAACAAATATTAGGCATCGTAACATCGTCAAGCTGTACGGATTCTGTTCACATACCAAATACACCTTCTTGGTGTATGAATTCATGAAAGGGGGAAACCTGATGCACTTGCTGAGCAATGATGAAACAGCAGCCAAGTTCGATTGGATCAAGAGGGTAAACGTTGTTAAAGATGTGGCAAATGCATTGTCTTATATGCATCATGGTTGTTCATATTCTATAGTTCATAGGGATATATCCAGCAAAAACATTCTGTTAGATTCCGAGTATCAAGCTCACATCTGTGACTTCGGCACGGCAAGACTCATGAGGCCTGATTCATCTAATTGGACTTCATTTGCAGGAACTTATGGTTATGCTGCTCCAGGTATTACTTTGCACATGGTGAAATTGCAGTTGGCATTTAGTGAGTTTGATTTAAATACAGAATTGGCATTCTGATCTTATCATGATTCAAACTTAGGGTGTGTTTGATAAAACTGAAATCTAAAATCTAAATCTAAAATTTGACATCTGAATTATTAATTTATTGAATTGTTAAGTATTAAATCTAATAAATTTGAGTGTATATCATATTCAGTTATAAGTGAGTAGCTTATCACTCTTTTTAGAGCAAGTTTTGTCTAGAAAATTCAGTGCTGCTTAATTAATTTAGATGTTCAATTTTTTATTATCAAACGCATCTGAACATGTTAAGATTTGAATTCATTAAATTTAAGTGGTAAATTAGGTTATTAAACAGGACCTTAATTTTCCTAAATGAAATGACTAAAGTAATCAAATTATACTTATAAATCAACAATTTATCTTTTCGACTGCAGAACTTGCTTACACTTTGGAAGTAAACGAAAAATGTGATGTTTATAGCTTTGGAGTCCTAGCTTTGGAAGTGATCATGGGGAAGCATCCGGGTGATTTGGTATTGTCAATGTTGTCAGCATCATCATCGATCCATGGCATTCTGCTGAAAGATATTGTGGATCCCCGACCTCGTTCTCTGACTAAGCAAATGGCTGAAAAAGTGGTGTTGGGGACAAAACTAGCATTGCTGTGCGTGGATCCCAATCCTCAGTTGAGGCCTGACATGCAACAAGTTTGTGTCCAACTATTAAAACAAAGGCCACATCTGGAAAGCATGTTTCCTGTCATCACAATTGGACAACTTCTGGCTCTGGAATTGTCTGGCTTTTGAATTTCTGTTTGTTACAACAATATTATGTTCCAATGAATCCATCTCCTTTTCAGATTTTTCATTTTCATCACAATATGTAATAGCAAAAGTTTAATCTCTAGCTAGTATTGTCTACAGCTTTTGAATTTCTGTATGTAACAACAATATGGTGTTCCAATAATTCCATCTCCTTTTCAGACTTTATTATGGTTAGGCTGAAGATTGTAGAGCAAATTATTCAGACAGTCACTATACTTTTTGAATAATTGAATTTTGGTTTATCAATTATTAATAGTATGTTTGTACCCATTAAACTATCAAAAGTGTAAATTTTGGATCATTTTTGTCTAATTTTAGTATTAATTCCATCATATCTAACTATTAATAGTATATCTTGTAAATCGTGCAGACCCTTATATTTAACGATGGAATCAGACAGGATGGTCCAAAATTTATACTTTTGATAGTTCAGTAAATAAAAACACATTATTAATAGTTGAATGGCCAAATCTTGACTATTCAAAAAATGTAGTGGCTACTCAGGTAATTTGCTCAAGATTATATCGTCTTGATGTTCCTTGGATTTTTCAAATCTTAGAAACTTCATCTACCTGTGGATAATAGTAATCATAGTGGAATTAAAAAAATTGTGAATCAACTTTCATCTAATTTAGATTTATTCTCTCACTTTAGGTGAATTATTTTCCCCTTAGTTGCCACGTCTTTTCCAATATCTTGACGAGAACAACCACTTTGTAATTTCTCGGCACATTTCCTTGGAAAGGTGCGATTTAGTCACTTGCGAAATTCATCTTTTCTTAAAGAAGGAAGAGATCCCACGACCTATCCCCTTTAATAAGCATTTCAAAGTCATTGCAAATCATAGTTGTTATCTAGTGTGAAAGTCGAAAAACATTGATTTATAGGTTAATTGTGTGAAGTAAAACATTACCCAATTAAAGGCTTTTGTTTTTAAGGTATATTCTATGTTCGTATCAATACTTGGAAAACGAGTGCCTTTGGATAAAAGAAATATTTGAAAAATTTTTAGGATAATACTGTAGCACTTTTGTGATGAGATGTATGTGAGAAAAAAAATATTTATGATATAAGCAAAATAATATTTGCTAAAATTTTGATATCCAAACAAACATGAAAGATAGGAGTTAAAAAATTTTTTAAAAATTGCATTGTTATAGAATTAGTGGCGTATCTAAGTTTAGTCTCTCTCTCTCTCTCTCTCTCTCTCTCTCTCTCTATTTGTGTGTGTGTCTGTATTTTGTTTTCTTGATTTGGCAAGGAAGGAGAACATTAACCAGAAATGTAGAAATATTAGGAAAGGAAAAAATGAAATTGATGACCACAGGAGGGAAAAAATAGAAAAGTAAATGAGTACTCCGCTCATGAGAAGAAAACGTAAGTAGCAATTCACAAAAACCAAAAACAAATAAATAAAATAAAATATACCCAAAAATTAAAAGTTAAAGGAAATATTTTCTGCTTCAACACGCCAAGCCAGACTCGACTATAAATTGACTTGAGTCATTAGTCAGAGTCTCTATATTTGTGGACTGCAATAACACATGATTACACTTAGGCTTGACGCATTTGGGTTGCCGTAGTCGAAGTGGATATTTCTGACTTTTTCCAGCCTTGCCGAACCAAGCTAGACGCTTCATTTGAATTAACTATTTTTTTAGGGTGTTTTTAAAACATTTTGTGTATGTAAAAAACTTTTATTATAGATTTTTTTGAAATATTTGATACTTGTATGGATAAAATATTTTGTGAATTGATTTTATTTGTAAATTTTTGTAACATTGTATTTGAAAATTTTATTTTTAAAAAAATAGATCAATTCAAATGGATCTATTTTTTGGTCAGTCCTAGAGGCATTAATAAAAAAGGCAAATCGAAACACATATAACCAGACATGGAAGATAAAAGAAGTGGTTAAATTGGATACATTAGTAAGAGGGTTTGGTAACGTACTGCAGTTGGTAATCTTCTATCATACCTATAGACACAGATATTTCTTCTTCCTGAGAGATTAGGCAAAACAGTGTGGATAATAATCATAGATGAATCAAGCTAACATTTTATCATCAAACAAGATTTACATGCTTATCTTGCCATTCATTTCATTTTCTTTCTTTCTAATAACAATTGAGAAAATTTGATGGAAGAACAGTTCAAACTTTGACGTCTTCTTGATGGAAGAACAGTTCAAACATCAAAAACTCAATTTTATACAGGAAAAAGACATTGAATTAAAAACTTAAAATCAAGCACAGAATCAGTCACCATTGACCCACCCCCCCCCCCCCCCCCCCAAAAAAAGGAAAAAAAAAGGTAGAATCAGTTGCAGTCATCCTGGGAAATTTGGACCCTCTCTAATATCTTTTAAACAAATGGAAGTCTTCTTGCTGCTTTCCCCATCTATAAGCCATCTGGACCAAGCTTTAGTAGAAACAATTATTAGAGGCAGTGCCTGCACTTCTGCTATAGCCAATGATCAAGTCACCTGTGTGATTTCCAGAGAGGCCTCTTGAACCCTTTTTCAATATATAATTGAAAACAATTGCATTAGACTTGTCATATTTCAGACTACTTAATTGTATTCCATTTATTCAATCTGCAGGGGCCGGGGTTCCAAATTTGATAGGAGCTGATTACACAACTCAAAATTAATTATGCACGGGGTAATTTTGCATTGACACTGTTACATATTCCGATATTCGTTTGTGCTGTTATTGTATTTAGGATTCACTTGAGAAGCTAGCAGCTTAAAGGGAATAGCTACTGTTCTATCTATCTTGAAAGGTCCAAATAAATAATTAATATTAAGCGAGGAATCCACCTTTTTTTTCTCAGGGAGCGTTTGGGCCGTGGATCTTCTATTAAAGGATAGGTTTCAAAATTAATCATAGTAATATTTATTGTTTGGTTAATGGGTATGATAGACCCATTCTGTGAATTTTATGATATAGGGAACTCATGCATGTAAAAAAAGTTACAAAATACTAGAGGAAGAGATTGAGTGAGTGAAAAAATTTAGGTGAATAAGGAGTAGAAAAGGGAAAAAAATGTGAAAATTTATACCTAAGATTTAATTACCAAACACTTCACACAAAAAAAAATCATTATCGTTAACTAATTATACTAGTTATTGATGGTGATGATAACAGTGATGGACGACTTTTACAAAGCGATTCCTTGATTTATTAAGTTTTTTTCATTGACTCTTATAGCGAGTTGCTTGACTGGAAACTTTGTTGCGATTGACGGCCAAGAGCCAAGATTTTGTATCAGCATTCCGAACTCCTGCATCCTTTTCTTCCACAGTAAAGAACTCGATCACGATTTCTCAGTTCCACTACAGATGCCTCATCTCTTCTTGATCTTGTTGTTCCTTTCTTTCTTTCTCTTCTCTTTCAAGTGAATTCCTCTGAGCTAAGAAATTAGGACTATTTCCCATGCACGGACTTCTGACTTCTTCGGTACAGGAAAGTTGAGTCAGCCACTTTTTTTTCTTATTTAAGGACACTACTGGCATTTCAACTAATAACGCTTTATAGACTATTTTCTATTAAATTTCCAATTTACATGAAATTATAGGGGTTAAAGTGGATATTTTGAAACAGTGGAGAAATAATGTGACAATAAATGAAACTATAGGGGGTTATTAGTAATTTGCCCTTAATCTAACTACTATATAAAAACCTAAGAGTACTTTTACCAAGAAGTGCCATGTGGACAATTTAAATTGATTTGGCATTCTTTGATTAGTTTGTTGTTTTAAAACTATTTTTACCAACAATTGTCATTTGCAATTGACCACTTAACATGTGTCTTTTGTATATGTTTAACTCATTTAATTTACCACTCAATTAAATGTGTTGAGCTTATGAGTATTGAAAGGAAGATTGAATTATGCACTCATAAGGGCTATCTCACTCTTACAATATGAGTTGAATCTTTTAATTGTCTGCATTCTTCCGTTTGGGCTTTTTAGATTCCTACGTCTTTTGGTGTTCCATAGTTTTCGGGTTCAGATGAAGAGCATAACCTCCATAAGGTTTCGAAAGCTTTCAGACACAAGTTTCTTTCTTGGAGAAAAAATGCTCACAAATAGTATTAATCAACTAGTGCTCACGGTGCTCTTTGATAAGGGAATTTTATATTTGTTTTAATTGTTTTATTTGCATCCAAAACACAAAATAAATATTGCATGGATAGTGAGTCACCAGTACTTTGATTAAGTTTTTCCTTTTTAAATTATCTTTGGATAAAAGGGTATAACAATCTGGAAAAAATTATTTGCTATATCATTGTTTTCATAAATTTGTCTTCATCAGATAATTTATCTCTTGCCACAGAGTTTGAAGATCAACAAGCAGTAGCATATTCACAAAGGTTTTGGTTTGCAGGTTTGTCTTGAACTACTCTTCTTGTTGTTTACTACCTATTAGATGAATTGTTTGAGAGGCAGTTTCTATTTGATTTATAAAGAATGATTAAGCCAATCATTTAAATTGTTTAGAATCTTTAAAATACTACTTTCATTTATGCTAAGGGACTAATTAGTGAGCTGTTGCAGAGGGCTACACACCCCGTAACAAATTCCTCACTGTTTGTATATGCAGACATATCACAACCTACAGCAATGAACTTGTTTTGGGTGTGAGAAAAACTAAAATGAGAGCCGCTATAATTTACTACCAAATTATCATTGAAATTCTTTCCTAACGATCTAGTATAAGTGAAAGGAGAAACCTCCCCCATTATTCCAATATTATCTTCTGAGATATCATAAACTTCTTGAAATGATTGTAATATTGCTTTTCTAGAACTCTTGCATGTGATTTCAAAACCATCGTCAAAGTAATAGCCCTTCCAAATGCCGAATGGATAAGGAATGGATACATCACCACATTTTGGGTCGCAACCTTTTTTTTGCAATGGATCCTAATTTTGATCCTTGTGCTTGCGAAGCCATCAAGGTTACTGCCAAAGAGAGAACTGTTATTATTCTTACTCTTTATCAAGTTTTTGATGGTTTGCGTATGTTGTTTTTTGAGCACATGTATATAGCAGGATTGGATGCTTTGACCAAAGATCTATATTGGGATAATATAGAATTAACCCAACTTGCTTAAAGTTTCTTTACTTTTTGTAAGCACTAATTACTATAATATATAGGTGTATAGTGCTATATTTGTTGCTTCCCATCTAGAAATAATAAATTTCGATAAAATGATTCTTTATATTAGTAGGGGTCAAGGGGGTAAAAATTTGATTTTTGGCAAAGTATATTACTAGCAATTCATGAAAGTTTGTTCGTCATTGCTACCACCAAATTAGTTCTTGAAGAAATAGCAGCAACCACCTCTTTGACTGCACAAACATCAAGTTCAGCAAGTACTATGAAAAGAAACTTGCCCTTCAATGATCAAATCACAGAAAAGGATTCTGATGGAACCGAGATTACTTCTGCAACAAAGGTGCAAGACTCCATCGAAAAAACATCTGAGGCTAACACTCCAGCAAAAGAAAAAGTAAATGTAAGCCCTGCAAAGAAATGCAAGGCTGCCTTGCACATTAACTAGCATTGCTAAATTGTCAACCTCTTTTGCTATGCCATTCGTCTAGACTTTTCTTTTGTTATCAATCACTTCAAACTTTCTTTTGGCATAATATTATGATCTGTTACCCTATCACTTTAATTAAGTTAGCTTTGTTAACTGTGTATATATATATATATATATATTAACTTGAGTTTGTTTCTCTAAATATATGTTCCACTGAAAGTTTAACTACAAGTGCATCATCTTTCAGTGGGCACACAGCCAGTCCATGCTAGTTTTATTTATGTGTAAACTTTTTCTATTCTGTGCCCACATTTATTTCTTACTACATAGTAAATACTTCTATTTTCTTTTGCCACAAAGTTCAGGAATGCATGGATTATTTGCGTTCAAGCTTTTCCTTTTTCAAACAGATTTCTTTTTCCTTTTATACCTTAATTTCCAAAAGCACTGCCAAAGAAATTAATTTCTATAAACCCTTCCGAAGGGAATTTGCCTCGAATTCAAACTTTTATTCCTCAAAAAAATACCGAAATTAACTTCATTGAAAACTTTATTCCTAATGTAACCTCAATAATTGCTAAAAAGGCATTCAACCCAAAACCGAGTACATGTTTTCCTTGTCTATGTCAAGCAATTAATTAACATTCACTTTTGCAGCAAGACTTCTAAGTCATCTTCAAGCAGCTTGGAGGCAATCAATTATTGGATATGTATCTCTATAAGTACTTGCTTACATGCCACAAAGGCCCTCAGCTTCTCCTTGTGAAGTTTCCCTTAAACATGTTGATCCTACACAATTCCATGCATCTAGTTTATTTGATTTTCGTATGCATGGGCATTTTGCAGTTGATTTCTACTTCAAGAAATGCTGCTTCTCAAAGCCATTCAGTACCAACTAATGGAAGTCAAGAGAATGCCCTTTTGACATGGAAAGGCAGTCTTGACAATCATAGCCAGTCTAAGTTGTCATCCTGGTCGTCTCCTGCCAATCCTTGCAGCAGTTGGGTTGGAATCCGATGTAACAAAGCTGGAAGAATATCAATCATTAACATCGCTAGCTCTGGGATTAAAGGTACCCTTGATCAGCTAAATTTCTCGTCTCTACCCCATCTAACTGCTATCAATCTTTCTAATAATGAACTCTATGGGACCATTCCATCCAGCATAGGTAACCTCTCTAGACTAACATTTTTGGGCTTGTTTTCAAATCATTTCTCTGGTGCCATTCCAATTCAGATCGGCCAACTAACCAATCTTAGGATCTTGTATCTTTTCAGTAACTCATTCTCTGGCTCAATCCCAAAACAAGTTGTGTTCCTGACTTCTCTTGTTGAACTCGATTTTGAACAGAATGAGTTTACAGGATCAATCCCTCCTTCCATTGGAAACATGACTAACCTAAGACGTCTGACCCTACGAGCCAACAAACTTTCAGGAAGTATTCCTTTGGGGATTGGAAACTTGACAAAACTGGATCTATTAATTCTTGATACAAACCACCTGTCAGGTGCCTTTCCTGAAGAGATTGGGAAACTCAGATCTCTTATTCAACTCTCTCTTGCCATGAACATGCTCACAGGTCCCATTCCACAGTCTATTGGAGACTTAGGTAACCTGACTTTGCTGTATCTTTTTGATAATTCTCTTTCTGGACCTATCCCTGAAGAAATTGGAAACCTCGTATCTCTTGAGAATCTTGCACTTGATTATAACAATCTCACCAGTAAGATTCCCAATTCCATTGGTAATTTGGGACGATTAACTTATTTATACCTTCCTGGAAACAAGCTCAGTGGACATATTCCTTCATCCATTGGAAATTTAACCAATCTCATTGATTTGCTGCTTTCTGAAAACAACTTATATGGGGCCATCCCTTCAGAATTGAGGAAAATGAAGTTACTAGCTGATGTTCGTCTTTTTACAAACCAGCTAAGTGGAGTTCTACCAGATGGTTTCAATAATCTCACACATTTACAAATTCTAGCAGTGTCTGAAAACAATCTTACTGGTCAATTACCTGAAAATATTTGTGTTAGTAGCTCACTAACCAGGTTTATAATATTTAAAAATAATTTTGTGGGTGCTGTGCCAAGGAGCTTGAAAAACTGTTCTAGCTTAAATATTATTAGTGTCCATAGAAACCAACTATCAGGAAATATCTCTGAAGATTTTGGTGTTTATCCACACATGAACTATATTAACTTAAGCAACAATAAATTTTATGGCGAGTTGTCTTGGAATTGGAGTGCCTATCGGAATTTGACAGCGTTGAAGATCTCGAACAACAATCTTTCTGGCAGAATACCGATTGGGCTTGGAGATGTATCTCATCTGCAAGAGCTTCATCTGTTTTCAAATCGCTTAACAGAGAACATTCCAAGAAGTTTGGGGAAGTTGACTTTGTTGCTCGTGCTTAAGCTGGACAACAACTATCTTTCAGGCAATATAACACTGGAAATTGGTCAGATGTCTAGGCTTCTAAATCTAAGTTTGTCAGCCAACAATCTAAGTGGCTCAATTCCAGAACAAATAGGTGATTGCACACAATTATTGGAATTGAATTTGAGCCAAAATGCGCTTAATGAAAGTATCCCTTCTCAAATAGGAAACCTTCACTCGCTTGCTACTCTTGATCTCAGTCAAAACATGTTGGAATCCAAAATGCCACCAGAACTAGGAGATTTGAAAAGCATCGAGAAGATGAACCTTTCACATAATAGGATATCAGGTTCCATCCCCAAAACCTTTGATCATTGCTTAAGTTTGATTTCTGTTGATATATCCTACAATCAATTGGAAGGTCCTCTTCCCAACATTACTGCCTTTCAAAAAGCTCCTTTCGATGCCCTGAGAAACAATACAGGGTTGTGTGGCAGTGTTGCTGGATTGAAAGCCTGCTCGCTGTCAACTCAAAAGAAGAATAGTAGGAGGACAGGTAAAAGGATTATTTTGGTAATTGTTCTTCCAATACTAGCAGCCCTGTTTCTTTTGATTATAGCTGTGGGAATTTTCATTCTTACAAGGTCACATACAAAACATGTAGAGAATAAGCCTCAGGAATTAATTGGAAATTTGTTCACCATTTGGAGCTTTGATGGGAAATTAGTCTATGAGAATATCATTGATGCAATAGAAAATTTTGACCCCAAGTATTGCATTGGAGTCGGAGGATTCGGAAGTGTTTTTAGAGCAGAGTTGCCAAATGATCAAGTTGTTGCGGTCAAGAAACTTCATACAACGGACAGTGGTTCATTGAGCAAGTCAAAAGATTTTGCCAATGAGATCCGTGCACTAACAAATATAAGGCATCGTAACATCGTGAAGTTGTATGGATTCTGTTCACATACACAACATACTTTCTTGGTGTATGAATTCTTGGAAGGTGGAAGCTTGATGCAGTTATTGAGCAATGATGAAACAGCATCCATGTTCGATTGGATCAAGAGGGTAAACATGGTCAAAGATGTGGCAAAAGCATTGTCCTACATGCATCAAGATTGTTTGCCTTCTATAGTTCATCGAGATATATCTAGCAAAAACATTTTGTTAGATTCCGAGTATCAAGCTCACATTTCTGACTTTGGCGCTGCAAGATTCCTGAGGCCTGATTCATCTAACTGGACTTCATTCGCAGGAACTTATGGATATGCTGCCCCAGGTATGTTTTTTATTAGGTGCAATTTCGCTTCACTTTCAACCAATTTGATAATTTTCCTTGTCAATTGCAGAACTTGCTTATACTATGGAAGTAAACGAAAAATGTGATGTTTATAGCTTTGGAGTCTTAGTTTTGGAAGTGATTATGGGGAAGCATCCGGGTGATTTCCTAATGGCAATTTTGTCAGCATCATCATCTGCCCATGGCATTCTACTGAAAGATATTCTGGATTCTCGAATTCAATCTTTGACAAAGCAAATAGAAGAGCAATTGATGTTGGTGGCAAAATTAACTTTGCTATGTGCGGATCCCAATCCTCAGTTGAGGCCTACGATGAAACAAGTTTCTGTTCATCTGCTGAAAAAAAGGCCGTCTCTAGCAAGCATGTTTCCTGTCATCACAATTGCAGAACTTATGGCTCTTGACTTGTCTGATTTCTGAACTTCTTCTGTATATTACAGCAATTTTAGTGTTCCCATGAATCCATCTGTTTTTGACATTTATCATTGTCATCACCAATATGTAACTGCAAACTTTTCCATCTCTAGCTAATATTGTCTACAGCTTTTGAATGACAATTAATACTCTGGATTATGCAGTAACACCTGTTATATACCATATATTACCATAACCCACCAATAAAAAAAAAAAAGTATTTAAAACAAGAAACTATTCCAGCGGCCATTTGGCATGGCAAGAAAATAATTCCAGAAAAATAGAAATGGCAGGAAGAAAAAGATCAAATTTCATGACCACAAAAGACATGCAAATAAATATACCGTCCATGAAGAGAAAAAGTCTATGACTATTCACTTAAGATAAGCATCAAAAATTTAGAACATACCCAAAAGTTGAAATCAAAGGAAGCTTCTGCTCCACCAATATGAAAAGCCAGACTTGATTCTAAACTGAGTTTCAACTATGGACAGACTTAACTATAGCTTTCAGTCAGAATCTCTACATTGATGGAGAGTAATAAGACCTAAAAAATACGCATCTAGGTTGCCGTAGCAGGACGGGAGAAGACTTGTCCCAGCTTACCAGTTTATCTTTCTTCTGGAATGCTATTAGCATTTAATTAGTAGTCAATGGGAATGAGCCTTCTAGGTTTCGGCTACTTATTTTTTGACTTATTAAAGTTTCTTTGTCATAGAGCTATGAGTAGAAAACAGCACATGAAAACATCGAATTGGATAGTTTAGTGTAAGGATTTAACATACTTTGCAATGATTAATCCTCTGCCATATGTATGGAATATGGATAACCACCTTTTGCTACTCAAGATATTTAGGCATGGCATAATAATGTTAGTACAAAAAATCAGGCAGCGAAAATAATCAAGAACTCGTCACAATTAAAATTGCTCAGAGAATTTGGAGACAATCGTAATTTCAAACAATATTTTACAGCAAAACAATTCTTACAAACTAATTCCAAACTGAGTTTCATTATAATTCTAATTCCAAACTAAATCTTAACGGAATAAGTGGCTGACTCTAGTGGGAAATAAATCCCTCAAACGCATAACTACTAATCCAAATTCCAACGCAATGCTACTAGAATTTAATGAGTCGTCAATGGGATTGAGCCGTCTAGATTTCGGCTACTTACTTTTTGACTTATTAAAGCTTCTTTATCGTGGAGAAATGAATAGAAAACATTGGATTGGATGAAGGTTTGAAAATGTCACTTACATCTCATATTCTCAAAATTTTTAAATGTTATTAATTAACCCAATTTAAAATATATCATCATATCCTTAAAAAAAAATTAGTTTTGGGAGAATAAAAAAGATAACTTCATTCTATATATAGTAGCCCTCTTTGACTAAGCAAATGGTGGAAAAAGCGGTGTTGATGACAAAAGTAGCATTGCTGTGCGTGGATCCCAGTCCTCAAACGAGGCCTACCATGAAACAAGTTTCTGCCCTGCTGTTCAAACACAGGCCATCTCTCTCGACAAAGCAATTTCCCTGTCATCACAATAGGATGACTTCTGGTTCTTGAATTGTCTGATTTCTGAGTTTCTGTGTGTTGTTCTGTTCCAATGATTCCATTTTTTCCCCCCAGATTTGGCTTTTTCATCTTAATATGAACCTGTAATTTCGCTTGGCTTTTAGTACTGTCTACAGTTTCCGAACTACAATTGCAACCCCGTGGGTTATATATGCTTGAATATGCTACACTGAAAATTATGAAATCTTGAAATTTCTTGGAATCAGGTATTGGAAACTACTTCCGTTGGTTTAAGCCCAATAACAATAACTTATTTTAAGCCCAAAAAAAAAAAAAAAAGGTTTGTTTGCCACTCCACATCATCAGTGACGGTTGCCATCAAATCACTAATGCTCAAGTCCAACATAAACGAAAAAACATGAATAGCTTAAGCGCTAACTCTTCCTTCCAGCTAAATAATTGCACACGTCTCAGATAAACTTGAACGTAGAAGGAATAGGTCAAAGCCGAAGACTTAAACTCCTTAGGAGATAGCGGATCCATTGGACTTGCAATATTAAAAGTACGTTTATGCTGGTTTGATAACGAGATATGAATCAAGTCATCTCCAAGCAGCTTCAGGCAGTGGAAATTTTTTTTTTTCTTCTTTTTTGGGCGTCATTCAATGTTTTAAAAGGTAAGGGCTTGCATGGGGCGCTGTATGTTTGCCGAAGCGGCACGAAAGCCCCAAGGCATGGGGCGTAAGTCCCACAAATTTTGATTTTTTATATATGTAAAAACTAAAATATAGAATCATACTACGAAATTATAATATTCATACATCTATGTGTGTGTATATATATATTACTAATAAATATTTAAAATTTTGATAAATTTAAGAAATTACAAAAATATTATTGTTGTCTAACAAGTAAAATCACAGCAAAATTCTAACTCATATATTAGCCATCTGGAATCATGTCAAAGTAGTTATACACTGGGATCAAAGAAAAGAAAAAATAGGACACGAAGTCATGGATGCTTTTGTTTTGTATTTCTTCCAAACTATTTCCAAAGACAAAATAAATGGAATCATTCTTCAAAATTATTAAACAATGATAAGGACAGGAAACAAAGATAAGGAAGATAAAATAGTAAAATCAAAGTTCAAAATTAAAACAAAAGAATTTATATTTTTTCGTTTTTGGCGTGTCATTTTCAGAAATATGGATTGCATGTTAACTATTTCTTTGACTTTCTTTATCCGGTCCAAATATCTTATTGCAACTTGGAGAAAAGTATTTTAATTAAAATTTTATATTAACAAGTTCTTTTTTGGCACTGGGCTTTTTGAAAAAGTCATAATAATAATTAATTTAATGAAACATAATAAGGAAGCTATATGTTGTGCAATAAATCAAAATTTGCATTAATATATTAATTAAATATAACTGCTCAGTTCTCCATCTTTTTATTCTCACAATATTAAGTGGACAAAATATAACTTGAATATTATGCAATATCAAACTTTGGAGAGCAATCCTAACTCAAACTGCAAAAAAAGAAGTAAAGAGAGATAACACCACTAATTAGTTATAATGGCTGGCTTTAAATGATTAGGAAGAGAATTTCTAAAATGTGCGTCTTATTAGTTTTCTTGTTTTACACATAAAAGATCACATGAATGTAGAATGAAGTACTTAATTTTGAAATTTGGCTGATCAATAATGAAAAATAAAATAAAATGGTTAATTGAAAGGTGTGCACAATTTAACTAACAAGATATTTTTTCTTAAGACAACAATAAAATTTTAACAATGCAAAATGTAATACTTTACAACAAGTTAATAAGAAGTAATCAACTAATAATAATGCAAGGTCACACTTTTATAAAACAAAAGCTAGTTGGAAGGGGTCAATGGAATTTTGTCAAAATTTTAGGGAGAGCAAAGAAAAGATTTCTAATGAATATTGTTAAAATTTTCTAAAGGTCAAAAAGAAATCTCAAAACTTTGGGGGCTGGGGGATGCTGGGCCCCCTATTCCGTCCGCCCCTGGCTTCAGGCAATCAATCCTTGCATGCATAAAAACTCTGTCAAGTACTCTTGCGTACTTGCCACAAAACTCGAAAGCCCTTAATTATCTTCTCATCATGAAATACTCCACAGACATATCAGTCCTGAACAAGTCCGTCTGCCGACCTTATCTTCTAATGCTTGCATGCATAGCTCTCCTGCAGTTGCTTTTTGCTCCTCCAATAACAGCTGCTCCTAAATTGCAGCATGCAGCATTAAGTACTGGAAATGAAGGGAAAGCTCTTTTAACATGGAAATCCAGTCTTGACGATCATAGCCAATCCCAGTTGTCATCGTGGTCGTCTTCTGCAAATCCTTGCAGCAATTGGGTTGGAATCCGATGTAACAAAGCTGGAAGGATATCAAGCATGAACATCACAAGTTCTGGGATCAAAGGTACACTTGGTCATCTCAATTTCTCATCTCTGCCTCATCTGACTACCATTGAGCTTCCTCAAAACGCACTCTATGGGACCATTCCATCCAACATTGGTAACCTTTCTAGACTTGTCCTTCTTGACTTGGAATCAAATAATTTCTCTGGTGTCATTCCAATTCAAATCAGCCATCTAACCAATCTTAGGTACTTGTCCCTTTCCAATAACTCATTGCATGGCTCCATCCCAAAGGAAGTTACGTTTCTCAAGTCTCTTGTTGAACTGTCTTTGATGCTGAATGACCTTACTGGATCAATCCCTACTTCTATTGGTAATCTAACCAATTTAACCTTTCTATACTTGCGAGACAACAAACTTTCAGGACATATTCCTTCAGGAATTGGAAACTTGACAAAACTTGCCGAATTATCTCTTGAAACGAACCAGCTCTCAGGTCCCTTTCCAGAAGCGATTGGGAAACTCCGTTCTCTTACACTCCTCTCTCTGGCTGACAACATGCTTACGGGTTCCATTCCAAAGTCTATTGGAAACTTAGGTGACTTGAGTTTGTTGTATCTCCACCAAAATTCTCTTTCTGGACCCATTCCCAAGGAGTTCGGAAATTTGAAGTTATTAACTGATATTCGTATTTTCACAAACAAACTGGGTGGTGCCCTGCCAGAAGATGCATTTAGTAATCTTACATATTTACAATTCCTAGCACTATCTGACAACTATTTTACTGGCCATTTGCCCCAAAACATTTGCAGTGGCGGCTCACTTGTGAGGTTGTCGATATTTGACAATAATTTTGTGGGCACCATGCCGAGAAGTTTGAAAAACTGTTCCAGTTTAGAAAATTTGTCAGCCGGAGGAAATCAATTATCAGGAAAGTTTTCTGAAGATTTTGGCGTTTATCCAAATGCGGATTACATTGACTTGAGCGATAATGAATTTTATGGTGAGTTGTCTTGGAATTGGAGTGCCTTTCAGAAGTTGACGAGTTTGGTACTCTCCAGCAATAATCTTTCAGGCGAAATACCAACTGAGCTCGGAGAGGCATCTCATCTGCAAAGACTTCATCTCTTCTCAAATCGCTTACATGGGAAGATCCCACTAGGTTTGGGGAAGTTGTCTTTGTTGCTTGACCTTA